CTGACTCGTTGAATAACTGCTCTCATTTTTATCTTACTTTTGCGATGCTATACCAACTGCAAATTAATTAAAAAAAGTCATGAGTATCAATGTAACTTCAGAAATAGAATTAAAAACATCCCGTAGTGGTGGAAAGGGAGGACAAAATGTAAACAAAGTAGAAACGCAAGTGGAAGCTCGATTTTCTGTAGAACAATCATTGTTATTGACAGATGAACAAAAATCAAGAATCAAGGAAATACTTGCCAGTAAATTGACCAATGAAAACATACTGATCGTTAAATGTAGTGAATCAAGGACTCAATTGGACAATAAAGAAAAAGCCATCCGAAAATTAAACCATCTTATCAATGAATCATTGAAAGTAAAAAAGAAACGATTGAAAACTAAGACACCTCGAGCAGTCGTTGAAAAACGAATTGAAGGCAAAAAAAGAAAAAGCGAACTAAAAAACCTACGTAGAAAATTATTGTAATCGTTTTAATTTTTCAGCTGCAGCGATGAGTGTTTCATCTTTTTTTGCAAAGCAAAATCGGATTAGTTTATCGTCTTTTCCATTATGATTAAATGCACTTACAGGAATACTAGCAACACCATATTCTTTGGTAAGCCATATAGCAAATTCCTTATCAGGCAAAGTTGAAATTTGATCATACCCCAACATTTGAAAATAACTTCCTTGGGATTTTTGATGTAAGGTAAATGGTAAATCCTTTATTAAATCTAAAAACAAATCTCGTTTTTGTTGAAAAAAAGCAGGTAATTGAAGGTATTCATGTTCATGTTCTAAAAACTTAGCAAGACCAACTTGCATAGGTGTATTGCATGTAAAACATAAAAACTGATGAATTTTTCGAAACTCGGTACTCAAATCTGATGGTGCTACACAATAGCCCATTTTCCAGCCGGTGGTATGAAATACTTTGCCAAATGAAAAAATAACAAAACTTCGTTTTAAGAGTGAAGGATATTTCAAGATACTTTCATGCACTCGCCCATCGAGTGTAATATGTTCATATACTTCATCGCTGATGACAAACAAATCATATTGATTAGCAATGCGATCTAAGTGATGAATATCTTCTACTGTCCATACATAACCGGTAGGATTATGAGGAGTATTTACTATAATGGCTTGGGTATTGTTGGTAATGGCTTGTTCCACTGCATTCCAATCGATTGAGTAATCGGGATATTTCAATGGAATACATATTGGAATTGCTCCATTGGTTATAATATTAGGAATATAACTATCGTACGCAGGCTCTAAAACTATCACTTCATCGTTAGGTTGCAGTATAGTTGTCAATGCTGCATAAATTGCATAAGTACCTCCTGGCGTGATAGTAATTTCGGTATCAGGATTAATACTGGTTTGATATAATGCTTGTATTTTCTTGGATAGAATATCTCTCAATTCTGGCAAACCTGCCATAGGAGCATATTGATTCAATCCATTCTGCATTGCCCGATTGACTTCTTCTATTAAAATAGATGAAATAGGGTAATCAGGAAATCCTTGAGATAAATTAATAGCATTGTGTTCTTTTGCCAATGCGCTCATTACAGTAAAAATCGTCGTACCAACATTGGGTAGTTTTGAAATCAATTGCATTACTAGAAAAATTGTATGATATTAATTAATTTGAAAATAAAAGAGAAGAAACTCTTACAAAAATTTATCCCCTTTGTTTCTTTTTACTTCAGCTACATAATCTTTTATCTGTTGTTCACGATTGCGCTCACATATCAGTAAAATATCATCGGTATCAATCACAATAAAATTTTCGAGACCTTGTAATACCAGTAATTTATTGTCATTGGCTTTTACCATACATTGAGAAGCATCAATAATCATTACATTTTTACCATATACTGCATTGCCTAAATAATCTTTTTCTGAGTTTTCGTAAGCACTATTCCAAGTCCCCAAATCGCACCAACCAAAATAAGAAGGAATTACAAAAACCTTCTTTGATTTTTCCATAATGCCATAATCAATCGATATATTGGTACATTGTGAATACACTTTTGATATTTCCTGATGTTCTTCAATTGTATTATAACTTTCCACTTTCGAAAATATTTCATTCATTTCGGGCAGATATCGACCAAGTTCTTCAATAATGGTTTTTACATTCCAAACAAAAATACCTGCATTCCAAAGAAAGTCCCCACTACGAATAAATGTCTCTGCCAATTCATGGGAAGGTTTTTCGGTAAATGTTTTCACTTGATACAAACGCTCCATATTTTTGGTAGTATCGTATTGTATATAGCCATATCCTGTATCGGGTCGTGTAGGTTTAATACCCATGGTTACGAGTACATTATTCTTACTTACAAAATCCAATGAATCTATAATATCACGTTCAAATTTTCGATCATCAAAAATTAAATGATCAGCCGGACTCATTATAATATTTGCATCGGGATTGAGTGCATACAATTTGTGTGCAATATAAGCAGCACATGGTGCGGTATTTTTTCTCGATGGTTCACTCAATATATTATTGTCCTGAAGATCGGGTAATTGGATTTTCAAGGTAGGGATATAAGCCTCATTGGTAATGATGAAAATATTTTCTTTAGGACAAATATTCTTAAATCGCTCATAGGTCCATTGTATCAATGATTTTCCTGTTCCTAAAATATCAAGGAATTGTTTAGGATGTTCGTTACGACTTTCAGGCCAAAACCGACTTCCAACACCTCCTGCCATGATGGCTACATAATTATTTTTTAAACTCATAGTATGTTCTTTATATCCTATTACCCGGGTTAGTTAGCTTAGAAATCTAAATTACAAAAAAAATCCTTATTTATTATGCAAAGTAAGATACTTCTTCATCCATTTATCTTCCAATTGTCTCATTTCCAGTTGTTGGCTTTTGGTTTTATCGCCAAAACCACTAATATGCAATGCACCATGTATTATAACTCTTAGCAATTCAGTTTGCATAGTCATTTTCATAGATAGAGCATTCTCTTTTATACGATCAATACTAATGTATATATCACCTACTATAAATTCTGCATTTTTTTCAGTAAGATCAAACGTAATAATATCTGTATAAGTATCATGTTGCAAGTATTGCTGATTCATTTGTAAGAGATAGTCATCACTTACAAACACATAAGTAAGAATGCTTTCTTTCTTTTTATAATGATCGATAAGATTATTTACAAAAGCGCCTAATCGGCGTTTTTGCTTCAACATCGATTTTACTTCATGATCTGTAAACGTGCAACGACTCATACTATACAATTTAGAGTGTAGCAATTACATTGACACCATTCTGAACTACATCACCAATTTGTGCATTTATTTTGGTACCCAACGGCAAATACAAATCTACACGTGAACCAAATTTTATAAATCCTAATTCACCATTTTGTTTAGCAATATCTCCTTTTTGAGAATAGGTAACAATACGACGTGCTACAGCACCTGCAATCTGACGTATTAATATTTCACCTTTTGTACCTTTTACAACAATCGTACTGCGTTCGTTTTCTGTACTTGATTTAGGATGCCATGCTACAAGGTATTTCCCTTTATGGTATTGAACATATTCTACATTTCCATCGATTGGATATTTATTCACATGCACATTCAATGGCGACATAAATATTGAAACTTGAATTCGTTTATCCTTGAAATATTCTGTTTCGGTTGTTTCTTCAATCACTACCACCTTACCATCACATGGAGAAATCACCAGATGTTCACCAGTGGTTTCAGTTCGAGTAGGAATACGAAAAAACCAAAATACCCAAAACGTAAAAAGAAATAATACAAAAATTAAAATATAAGAAATTATCAAAAATGCACTTGGCACTTTTAATAATATAAACAATAAAATAAAAAAACTAACTAATGCAATGACAACATACCATTTTCCTTCTTTGTGAATATACATGTTGCAAAAATAA